TACTCCCGTAAAGATTTACACCCTCGGAAACCCTGTACAGGGTCGCTATGGGTCGGACCCGACTCGATGGCACTTAACAACAACAACAACAACAACTCGCCGCATCAGCGTGTTGTGTCTGCTTCTGGTCCGGTTGTAGGTGCTGAAATTGCCTCTCTCTCTCTCTCTTTGTGCATACAGGTATTGAAATTGCCAAAAATAGAGGAGCAAGGTACAGGCTTGGACCAGAACTGGAAATATGGTGAGACCAGCCCCTCAGATAACCCTGGAGTTCCCTGACCACCAAGCTCAGAGGTGGGCTGAGCAGTGATCACGTCGGCTTGAAGGGCTCAGGGCCAGGATTGAGAGCTGGCATGTGCTAGGCCCACTTAAGAGGTCATGTTGTTGTTGTTGTTAAGTGCGGTTGAGTCGATTCTGACCCATAGCGATCCTGTATAGGGTTTCCAAGGAGCAGCTGGTGAGTTTGAACCGCTGACGTTGCAGTTCAAATGGCTTTGCAGTCTGGTACATTAACCCACAGTGCCACACCAGGACTCCTCTAAGAGGTTATAGTGACCTCTGATTAAGCCTGGTTGTGTGTGTGGTTGCCATTGGTCGGCATCAACAGCAGCTTCTAGGAAGCATGAACAAGAAGAGACTCAGGAAAGTTAAGACTTCCCAATTCCGATATCCAGTAATTAGGGAGGCCCATGTCACCTGATGAAGGAGATCTGGAAGTGTGGTGGGTATGAGTCGGCCTGCTAATAACCTCAAGCTCAGCCGTTTGAAACTACCAGCAATTCCCAGGGAGAAAGATGAGGCTTTCTGCGCCCGTAAAGATTTCCAGCCTCGGAAACCCTGTACAGGGTCAGAACCGACTCCACGGCACACTACCACCACCACCATGTCACCTGATCAGGGCTGACTGCCGAGCTGCGATGCATACATTAAACCTGTAGGTTACCAGGTTCGAGTCTAACCCTGGAAAGGGTTTCTCCAGTGACCTCAGAAACCTCCATAAACAAGCCTAAGGGATCACTTCCAATTGGCTGTTTTGCAACAACCAGGAAGTAAATTCTTTGACTCTCTGCTTATCTCTTATTAACTGCCGTGGAGTTGATTCCCACTCATGGCGACCCTGTATAAGGGCTTCCAAGACCGTAAATCTTTTATGGGAGCAGAAAGCCTCGTCTTTCTCCCTCTCATGTGGAGCGACCAGTGGGTTCGAACTGCTAACCAAGCAACACCTAACCCACAGATCAATTCGTTGGCATAGTAAAAGTCTTTCACAGACTACAGCTCTTTCCTTATGTTGGATGTCAGCTGACTTCTGTACTTTTTGAGTTCCTCGTTTGTCTTTGCTGCTACCGTCAACTATGGGCCCAGAAGTCTGACTTCGGTCCCAGTCCCTGTCTTGTCTGGTTCTTGTTTCTGGATTTTGTGGAAGTAGCAGCTGTTTGTTTACAGGCTTTTTAATTCTTCCTTGAGACATCGCGCTCTACCCTTCCAAACCCAGTTTCTTCCCTGTTGTTGTTGTTAAGTGCCATCAAGTCGGGTCCGACCCATAGCGACCCTGTACAGGGTTTCCAAGGGTGTAAATCTTTACGGGAGTAGAAAGCCTCATCTTTCTCCCGCGGAGTGGCTGGT